CGGAAATCCAGTTTCACCTGACTCGAAGACGGGCACCTGGACTGCTGACTACTCAGGGAAAGAAGCTCGCCTTGTGACTGCCCATCGGGTGCAAAGTAGGCTCTAGCCGAAGCTTTCCTGTTCCAACTGGCACCAACACCACGAACTCTTGTCTTCCAGAATCCACAGCTCCTCCCACTCCCCTCCAGGCTCCCCCAAACCCGAGCGCGCTGGGGAGGATGCTGCGAGCACGCCACCGGGTGTGCGTCTGACTCCCCGGCCCCCGGGCTTCCTGTACCCGAGGACCTGCGGGCGCGGGTGGGGGAGAGCGGGTTCCGCTGAGGACTGGAACCAGCACCCAGTCCCCTCCACTTCACCCCAGTGAAAGAGGGCTGTAAAATTCCGGAAGAGAGATTAGAGGCAGGGGATGGGTGGGGCGGTGAATCAGTACATTCCTTCCTCCCCCTGCCTCCTCCTCTAGGGTTATCACTCTTGGGAGGGTTGGGCGGCTTCTCACAGCTTTCTCTCTTGCTTCACTGGCAGGATCCGGACAAACTGAGCAATGCTAGGCGGGGATTTCCCATGTTCATCTGAACTTTGTGAGCCTGGTTGACTTAATTTGCAGCTCATGACCCATTTGGTTTCGGGCCGAAGGGTTTTAGCTGGGACTTCCAACTTGGCCCTGTGTGCGCATTCATCAGGAGCCCCTAGCTCGGTGTCAATTGCTCTTAAGAGCTTATAAACTTATATTTAGTATCAGAGGCAGGGAAATCTGGGCTCAGAAAGGCTAGGTAACTTCTGCCTGGTCACACAGTGGCTGAGCCTAGAACAGCTTCAGTTTTGTTGGTTGCCTGTATTTCCCACCACACCCAATTACTTCCTTTACTTGAGGTCATTGAAAGGCAAGGCTTGTTTGTAAAAGGGGCAGGGAAGTTAAAAGGATGGACCACTGCCACTGAGCCAGATACTTTTAAATATGGTGTCCTTAATTTCTAGGTTCCCACAGCTAGGATGAAAAAGATGTGACCACCATGTTCTGGTCTAGATGAGGAAGCTTTAGCAGTCAGGAATTTTGAGTTTCAAGAGCTAAAATCTCTGCATGTAGAGTTATAGTATGAAGTCTCTGCTCTTTTTGAAGCCATAGGGGTAAGACAGAGCCTCACGCTGTAGCCCAGGCTGCCCTGAAACTCACTATTAGCCTAGGCTGGCTTCAAACTTGTGGCAATCTTTTAAAACATTTTTTAACCTTTTCTCCATGTTGCTGGAAGCTGAACCCAGGGCCTTGTGCATGCTAGGCAATTGCTCTACTACTAAGCTATATCCCCAACCCTGTTTTTTTTTTTTAAGGATTTTTTTAAAAAAATTTATAATTTGTTTGTATTTTTTTGTACACTGATGTTTTGGCTGCATGTATGTCTGTGTGAGGGTGTTAGATTCCCTGGAACAGGAGTTATGTATGAACAGTTGTGAGCTGCCATGTGGGTGCTGGGAACTGAACCCGGGCCCTCTGGAAGAGCAGCCAGTGCTCTTAATCACTGAGCTATCTCTCTAGGCCACCTTCCATTCCTGCTTAATTTTTTAGTGATGGCATGTCACTAAATGAAAAAGTTAATCATTTTATTTATGTGTGCTGGTGAGCATGGAGGCCAGAAGGCAACCCTGGGTGTCGTAGGAGCCACCTACCTTGTCTTTTTTGTGAGGGAAGGAGTATACAAGACAGGGTCTCACTATGTAGCTCTGGCAGTCTTAGAACTCACTATGTAGAACAGACTGCCCTCAAACTCAGAGACCTCTCTCCCTGCTTCTGCCTCCCAAGTGCTGGCATTAAAGGTGTGCATCACTATGCCTGGCCATTTTGTCTTTTATGAGGCAGGGTCTCTCACGGGCCTGGGACTCTCTAAGAGGCTAGGCAGGCTAGTCAGTGAGCCCCAGGGATCCAGCTGTCTCCACTTCCTCAGTGCTGGGGTTTCAAGTGCTTATCACCTGTGAGTTCTGGGGCTTGAACACATGTCCTCAAGCTTGAGACAAGTACTTTACTAAGACTCGTTTCTTAGCCCTACCCCTTCATTTTACAGAAGGGGAAACTGAGACTCTGAAACTTGAAGTAAGGTTCTAAGAGGTCTTAGTTTGCCTGCGAGTGCTGCGATGATCACCATGACCAAAAGGAGGCTGGGAGCAAAGGGTTTATTTCACCTCACAGTTCACAGCCCATCTTGAAGGGAAGTCAGGGCAGGAACTCACGCAGGCATGGAGGAGTGCTACTCACTGACTTGTTCCTCACAGTTTGCTCAGCTTCTATCTTATATAAACCCTAGGACCTTCTGTCCAGGGATTGGCACCACCCACAGTGGGCCAGGCCCTCCCACGTCAGTCATTAATAAGAAAATACTACAGACTTGCCCATGGGCCATTCTAATGTGACATTTTCTCAACGGAAGTTTTCTCTTCCTGAATGACTCTGGCTTGTCCCAAGTTGTCACAAACAAACCAACAAACAAACAAACACACACCTAACCAGGACCCGAGGTTACATAGCAACTTTGTGACCATGTAAGGATGCCAGGTGAAAGGGTATAGACCCACAGAATGGGAACCAGCCAGGAACCTGGGCTTCTCCCAACCTCAGCACCTCAGTTTCTCTGCCATACCCTCCTTACTTCTTTGGTACTGCGTGTATGACAGGCCCACACACAGCTTCTGCCTCCAAAGAGATCATGAGCCAGGAATACCGCCAGCTTAACTTCACAGGGGTGCTGGGAGGATTAATAAGCTAATGGCACTTGGACCTGCTTCAGCAATGGCCCTGGATAAATTCGGAGTACTTATGTGTGAAACTCGCTGCCAAGGGTGGTTTGTGTTTAATAAGGCACCTGCAGCCTGGTTTCCAGTCTGTTTAAGGCGAGGAGACCGTAAAGCTGCGTTCCAACCTTCTCTGGGAATACATCTAGATTTGGAGAGACTAGCACACCTCCTTGCTGGCCTGTGGGTGAGGGTAGAGTTTTGATGACCCCGTGGTCTCTTAAGAGGCAGGTCTCCGGAGACTTGAAAGCTTTCCAGCTTAATCCAAGGGACACCAATTATTGACGGAAGTCAGAAACTAACACGATCATTTGAACCCCTGAGGCAGACAAACCTGGGCCAAGTCCTGCTTCTGTCATTTCGTTTCTCCAAGCCTCTGTACTCCTTTAAAATGAGTTAATAATACCTTCCTCATAGGGTTATTTAGAAGCATAAATTTGGTAATTTATTTAAAAGCACCTTGCCCAGAGCATGGAGTAGAGTACACGCTTTAAAAATGGCTATTAGTGTAGCTATTATTGTTACCCTCATGTTGTTACGTTACTTATTTTTATTTTAGGGCCAGGCTGACAGCCAGATGGAGGGAAGATTCGTTCTCTTGGCTATCTACTAGTTTGCCCCAAGTAGACTCGCCAAGCAGAGGAGAATCATGGACGCAGGCATTTCTAGTATGTTGTACTTGCTATGATAGAGTGAGCATAATAAGGTGTTTTGAGACCATAAAGGGAGCATCAGTAACCAGGAAATGCAGCTAACGTTCTGCAGGGGAGTTAGCTCTTCCTTTGCATGCTGTCCTTTGAGAAAACACTGCCTGACTGAGGCTGGTAGAATAAAGCAGCTAGCCTCTGAGCCTCCTTCCACACCGCCAACCAGGGGCCTTGATTCTAATCTGCAGTCTCTCTTGCTCCTCAAGGCCTTTTAACTCCTACGCAGCAAGGACGGCCAGTTTTGCCCTAAAATACCCCAACCCTGGCCACCTGCTGGCGGTAAACAAGCTGAGTTCTGTGCTGTGGCTCCATGAGGCGGTCTTTAAGATCTTCCCTTTCCCCAACCCCCCCAAAAATCTTTCCTTTCCTTTTAAATCTAAGTTGTGATGGAAGGTTCTGGTCTGCCTTGTGGGGAGGGCTACTGGACACCAACCACGACTTTGCCTCACAGTGCAAGGGCAGGGTTGCTGTGCTGGGGATAGACAGCCCAAGCGGCATTTATTTTTATTTATTTTTGTTTCAGAGACAAGGTTTCTCTGTAGCTTTGGAGCCTGTCCTGGAACTAGCTCTGTAGACCAGGCTGGCCTCGAACTCACAGAGATAGACCCACCTGCCTCTGCCTCCCAAGTGAAAGTGTGGGCCACCACCGCTGGGCTTCAAGGGGCATTTTCATTTTCTTGTAAATAGGTGTCAATTCTGGCCAGGTTAGACTTCCCAGGATGGATAGTAAGCACTGACTTTTCTCCTCCCTCCCATCTCTCTGGGGGAAGTCTTCCCACTTCTCAAACCAGCCTCCAGGGCCTTTTGCTGCTCCATCTGGCAACAGCCCAAACCAGTCTCCCAACTCACGGGGAACTACATTTTCCTATCCAGAACTCAGGACACAGGAACTGGCAAAGAATTTCTGGCCAGGTTCCAAATGCAAAAGGCAAAAATGTTCCCGATGGAGAATCTCTAAAATTATCTTCAACTTGTTAAAAGGGGCATGGATTAGATCGGCAATCTTGACACCCAACCCAACTTTCTCTTTTTTTTTGAGGGGCCAAGAGTCAATTTAGGGAGCTACAGAACCATTTCCACAGGTTTTTTTCTTTTTTTTCCCACAGTTTTTAAAATCACGCTTATTCTTCATAATTTATATTGGTACTGAAGAGCATCTGTGAAGATGGAATTATTTCCGTTTAATACTTGAGAATACTTAGGAAAAAACTTGTTCCTTAAGACTGTATTTCCGTCTGCCAAGGAAGAGGTCTGTGTTTTGCTAGCGGGGGAGTGGGCTGGAGAGGCGGACAGAAAGAGCCTTTGCGAAGTACACGCCATTCGAGGCCTCTAGGAAGGGCAGCCAAGTACTGAGCTACTCGGTTCCGCACTTCCGAGCAGGAAATCCCCACGCTCAGGCCTCAGTCGCCGCCCAGTCCCAGTCCCAGCGGGATCCGGCCCGAGGACGCGCCACCCTGGAACAGGAATCGGCCCGCGACCTTGCGGGTCACTGGGCGGCCAGAGGCTCTAACTTACGTCCAGGTGTGGATGGGGCGGTCGCGGCGTAGGCGGGCGCTTCCCTCGGCCACGTTTGTCAGCCCGCTCCCCCCACCCCGCGCCGGTCACATGGACGCCTCTTCCGTCGCCCCCAGTGTCGAGCGGAGCAAACCACGAAAAGGCGGAGCGCGGCAGGCGCCCAGGGCAGTGGGTCAGCGCCCCGTAGGCATGGTGGGCGGGGCCAACCGCCGCGAGCCGCCGGTAGCCAATCACCGGCCCAGGGGCGTGGTCATGGCCGCGCGCGCCGCGCCCCGCAGCGCCCCCTGAGGGGCGGCGGCGGGAGCTGGTCCGGCTGCGCGCGCAGCGGTGGTGGCGGCGGCGCGATCGGCCAGGCTGTAACCGTCGTCCGTCCGGGAGCGGCTAGGAGCGGCAGCGGCAGCCGGGAACGGCGCGAGGCGACGCCAGCAGGCAGCGGCGGTAGCGGGGGCAGCGGCGGCAGCGGGGGACGCAGCGGCAGCAGCGGCAGCAGCAGCAGCAAGACGGACTCGTGGACACGCGCCGCCGCCGCCGCCGCCGGGCCGGGCCGGGTGTCGCGCGCCGAGGCTGGGGGGGAGTCGTCGCCGCCGCCGCCGCCGCTCCCGCCGCCGCCGCCGCCGCCGAGGTGACTGAGGAGAGAGGCGCCTCCTCGCTCCCGCCTCCGCCGGCCTTCAATGCCCAGTCCCCAGCTCGCCAGCGTGAGTGCGCCCCTCCCGGGCGGCCCCGCGCGGCGCCCGGGCCTCGGGCAGGGGAGGGCGGGAGGCGCCGCTGCCATTAGAGCAGGCCCGAGACACGTCCCCGGAAGGAGGGCCGGGCCGGGCAAGGGGCGGGGAGCGCGCGGCTCGAGGTGGGGGAGCGAGCGAGCGAGCGAGCGTGAAAGAATGCGGGAGAAGGTGCGTGTGCGGGCAGCATGTGTCCTTGTGGGGGCGAAGGTGTGGCGAGAGCGAGCGGGGGTGAGGAGGGAGCGTGGCGGGCGAGGAGGTGTGCAGGGGTGCGCCTGCGTTTGTCCGGCGCGTGAGCGCCGGCATCCTGGAGGCCCCTTGGTCTTTGTGTTGCTAGTGAACCTCCGTGTCCAGGGTCTAACTCGCTCAGAAGCGTGGGATCCGTGAGTTGCGGTCAAGTAAGAGAAAAGGGTTTAAGTCTCCCATGACGCTGATCTTTGGCGCTTTTTTCCCTCCTTTCGTAAAAATGTATGTAAATTTCTGAATTTCTAGAGATGTCTTTGCCATCTCCCCACCCCCAATTTCCCAGCGCTCACTAATCGAGCTTGACTCCTGCCCAGGATCCCGAGTTTTTGCCGGTAGCTTATTGGGAAGCGTAAACTTTTTTTTGGTAGGTAAATGCTTAGTGTCCAGGTCAAGGATATTTAATGAGGTAAACTGCAGTGCCTTTGAGGCTGTGACTCTCTTTTACCCTTCTGCAGGAAAGCGCCTAAGAAACAGTCGTAGTATACAATGTCGATAAGTGCCATAGTCGTGTTTCTGTCTCTGGATTTGTCACGAAATATAAAGTGACTAATGTAGTGTCATTGTAGGCATTCAGCAAATGCGTCGCTACAGCTGGATTAGTATATGTATTTACTTGTTTCGCGCTCTGTGTTCCCGAGCAGTTTCAGACAGGAAGTGAGAGAAGTTAAGCCTTGTTAGGGTGCAAACGGAAACTAAGGCTATAGAAGAACACATTATCAGGGCTTTGTTTTCTGATCCGGACATTTTTAGTTTCGGGTTGAATGGTCCGGCTTTATTGTTATTGGATTTTTCTCTGTTTGCGCTTGAAGAAGGAATTACTTCGTTTCATTTGTTTTATTTTACTACTTTTAGATATTCCAAATAGGATCCTTCTTGTAGTTCAGTATGGTCTCAAAGTCTTTGTAACACAGTTTGGCTTTGAACTCTGATCTTGGTCTTCCAAATATTAAGATTATAGGCGTATAAGTAAGTAGACTGAATTGGGGATTGGAGATGAAGAATTGTTGAATTTTATACCTTAATGATGTAATCATAGATAGTAATTGGAAATATGTAAGCAAAGTTGAAGTGAAGTTGGTGCTATAGCTCTGTAATCTCCCCTACTTTGGGGTCAGAGGTCAGAGGATGGCCAAATCAAGGGCAGCTTGTGAAACTTTGAGAGCTTATCTGAAAATGTAAAAGGGAGTCTGGGGAAATAGCTCAGTGGTAGAGCACTTTCCTTGATAGAGAAATCCTAGGTTTAATTCCCAGTGTTACTACTACCAAAAAATATTGGGAATAAGGAAAGTTAAAAAAAAGATGGTTCTTTTTGATAATGAGTATAGACTTACAGACAAAAATCAGTATATTACTTGAAGTTAGAAACTTTACGTGTTTTGTAATATCTGCTAAAATATTTTTAAAAGTGAAAAGTTTGGTTCTGTAGCCTGATCTGGAACTTACTCTGCAGCCCATGCTTGGCCTGGCATTTGTGGTAGTGCTCTTGAAGCTTCCCCTGAGCTGGGATGGCAGGCATGACCCACCAAGCTTAGGCGGCAGGCATGACCCACCAAGCTTAGGGAGAAATTAATGGTTTTCTTAGTGTCCCTCCCCCCCCCCCCTCCCCGAGACAGAGTTTCTCTGTAGCTTTGGAGCCTGTCCTGGCACTAGCTCTTGTAGACCAGGCTGGCCTAGAACTCACAGAGATCCGCCTGCCTCTGCCTCCCGAGTGCTGGGATTAAAGGCGTGCACCACCACTGCCCGGCTTAGTGTCCCTTTTCTTATACTGAGCTTGAGAAGTGGTTTTGTCATTCCCTGGAAGATGGGGGTGTTAGTAGTAAGTGCCATTGTGCTACAGGTGTTTTTAATACTCATTCCCTGTTCATAGTCAAAATAAAGTTGGAGGATATCCTCATTGGATACCTTGGCACATTTGTGAGATGCTTGTTTGCCAGTCGCTAGGGATTTGGTGACGTGCCCCCCTGGACTGTATAGTGATGGCATGGAATATATGAGGAGCAGTTACTTTGTTCAGTAACACAAGAAGTGGATTAAAAATTAAGGTCATCTAAAGCCCCTGATTTTTTCCAGGACACCAAACCATTCTCTCAGCATTGTGTCTGACTTTGAAATTTCTCGTTGTTAAGAGTCATTCAGCAGCTTGCACACACAGGAGCTGTGGAAGCTAATGGAGAAGACTTAAGTGTCTTTGAGGCAAGAGGATCATTGTAGGAGATGCTGACTTGAGGCTTTTGGGGGCCTAAGCTAGGCTTTCATGTGGGAGGAGATTCTGCCTTGAAGCTGTCTTGGGGCCCCAGGGTGTGTGCTTTGAGACAGTTTTTATGAGGCACCTGGGGTATGTCTGGGAGGAAAGTCTGATTAAAGAAATGTAGCAGACTTTCTGTTTGTTGATTTTGTGTGTTGTATGGGGTGTGTTTATTGGAGCTGAGGAGTCCACTGAAGTTGCCACTTTGAAAGTTTGTCTCTTGGGTTGTGCAAATAATTAAGAGATTGCAAATCAGTTGTAAGAGAATAAATACACTTGAAAGTACTCTGTTAATTATAAGTTGGACTCCAGATGCAGAGTATTACTAAGACAACAGCTTGTTACATTTAGCGTCTACAAAAACTGGCCTTTCAGAACACCTTCACCAGGGAAAAATAGCTCAGAACTGCTGAACTGGGTATTTTCTGACTCAGAACAGAAGTCAGACCACTCCCTCTATGAGTCAGTCAAGTAATATTTAATTTGATTGAACCAAGTTTATAGGCAGAAACCATTTACAACATCACTGAACTTTGGTGGCATTAGGGAAGGAAGAGTAAATGAATTATTTTGCTGTTTGTTTCTTTGTTTTTGTTTTTTTGTTTTTGTTTTTCAAAACAGGGTTTCTTTAGGTAAGAGCTCTGGCTGGCTGTCCTGGAGTTCTCCCTCATAGACTAGGCTGACCCTGAACTCCTGGAGATCCTCCTGCTGGAATTAAAGGGGTGTGCTACCTTTGCCCAGCCTGTGTGTTTTTTAAAGTCAAAGTTTCATATGTGTACTTATATACTTGCTGAAAATTGTGAGCAGAGTAAGTGGTAATTCTTTTTCTTGAGTTAGCCCCCCCTTACACCTAGGGCCTCTACTCAACTGCACTTTCAACCCTCTAAGTGAACTTTTTCTGTCCTTCACAGATAGTTTTCCATTTTGTAGAAATTGCAGACTACAGTTTTGACACAAAGTTGAAATTCAGTAGGGATTTACATTACAGTTCGACCTTTTATTGGACTTTGTGGTTGGAGATCAGTAAAGCCTCTGGAGAAAGCATTGATAGAACGCTTCAAGAGAGCGACACACAGCTTTCAGTCTTTGTCTCTGGAGATGGAAACTTCAGTTAGAGCCAAACCTAAGTAATGCATAGGTAGAAGTTGGGGATCATTAAATAAAATTTTGAGTAGAAATCAGGACTCCATTTAATGTGGTAGAGCAAATAAACTTAGTAAGGAAGATAGTGGTAGAATGTGGTTTGGATGCTTGTAAAGTCCATTAACCTTCAGTGCTCTGGGTTCCAGCATTCCCATCTTTAGAGGCCTTTTTATGTCTGATCACAAATCATCACCTTTATGTCCACCCAGGTGACATCAGTTAAGGGTGCTTGTTGTCAACTGACAACCTGATTTTCATCCTTAGAGCTCACATGATAGGAGAGACAAACTGCAGGCTATTCTTTGACCTCCACACATATGCCGTGGCCCTCACAAACACACAATGGGCAAAATAAATGTAAAAAAAAATCCTAAGTCATCACATTCTAAATTTATTAATCTTTATAGTGCTAGTCTTTCATCTTTATTAGTAAGGAGATTGGTTTATAGAGTAAATGTTGGATACCTAGTTTTGGAATCTAAGCTAACAGAACAAGGTGGTGAGTGAAACATTGTTTTCCTTTTGGAATTAAAGCTTTTACACTCCTGCTGAAGCAGTGGATGCTACTAATTTACTTTGGGAAATGGCCATTTGAATTTAATTGGATAAAGGAAGAGTTTTTTCCCCCTTTTTCAACTTCAAAACGATTATACACAGAAGTGTCTGGTATCTTCATGAACTACATGGTTACCCATGAATTACATTCTCTAGTTCACTTGGCTTCCTGAACTGCTTTGGGCCTTAATGCCTTATCCAAAGGATTGTCTGGTTTAGAGTTGAAGTGGGTGTTGTACATAAAGCTCCTACTCCTGGAGTTGTAGAGGTCTGGGCCATTGTTAAAATAGCCATTTCCCTGCACCTCCATGAAGAAAAACTGCTTACAGCTGTTGGCTCTCTGTCTTCTTCCCACAAGTCCTCAGGAAGTTGCCAGAACTTGGTGAGAAAAATAACCTTCCTGTACATTCTACACCTTTTGATGGCATTTTCCCTCTACCTTATTCTCTCTCTCTCCTCTCCCACCACCTCTTTTACCCCCTCCTTCCTGCCTCCTCCTTTCATTTTCTTTCTGAGACAGGGTCTCTCTAACTATCTGGCTGTCCTGGAATTCATTATGTAGTCCAGGCTGGTCTGGAACTCTTAGAGATCACCTGCCACTACCTCCTAGTGCTGGAATTGAAAGTGTTTACTAGCACATCTGGGACCCCTTGTACTATTAGTACGTTTTCAATTATTGTAGATTTAAAATAAGCATCAAAATCTTTTTTTTATTTATTTATTTATTTATTTATTTATTTATTTATTATGTATATAGTATACAATATTCTGTCTGTGTGTGGGTGTG